AGAGCAACCCCTTTGTTTAATGAATGATGACAATAAAACTAAAAAAAGTGAAGTCCTAAATATGGCAAGTTGGTGGCAGGGTCAAGACAAGATCACAGTCCTCTTTATTCTTAGTCCAGTGGTCAAAATCTTCCCATTTTTCATGAGAAAAACCGAACTGGTCCTACTATCTCTTAAACCATACAGTCCATACTACCTACTTAACAGAAGAAAGAAAAGACTACAGGCAGTAGATTGCAGAGGTTAAGAACATGAACTTGGGGGGCTGGGTGCCGTGGCTCACACCTGTAATCCCAGCACTTCGGGAGGCCAAGGCCAGCAGATCATGAGGTCAAGAGATGGAGACCATCCTGGCCAACACAGTGAAACCCTGTTTCTATTAAAAATACAAAAATTAGCTGAGTGTGGTGGCACAAGCCTGTGGTCCTAGCTACTCGGGAGGCTGAGGCAGAAGAATCACTTGAACCCAGGAGGCGGAGGCTGCAGTGAGCCGAGGTTGTGCCATTGCACTCCAGCCTGGCGACAGAGCAAGACTTCATCTCAAAAAAAAAAAAAAAAAAGGTAGCAGGGCATTGTGGCTCATGCCTGTAATTCCAGCACTTTGGGAGGCCGAGGTGGGCAGATCATGAGGTCAAGAGATCAAGACCATCCTGGCCAACATGGTGAAACCCCGTCTCTACTAAAAATACAAAAATTAGCTGGGCGTGGAGGTGTATGCCTGTAATCCCAGCTACATGGGAGGCTGAGGCAGGAGAATCACTTGAACCAGGGAGTCGGAGGTTGCAGTGAGTCAAGATCATGCCACTGCACTCCAGCCTGGGCAACAAAAGCAACCCTCAGTCTCAAAAAAAAACAAAAAAAGCAAGCATGAACTCAGGATGGACTGCCTTTTTAAAATCCCTGCTCTACTACTTATTAACTGTGCAACTTGAAGCAAGCTTCCTAACTGCTCTTCGACTCTATAAAACAAGGCCAGGTGCGGTGGCTCATGCCTGAATTCTAGCACTTTGGGAGGCCAAGGCAGGCGGATCACGTGGTCAAGAGTTTGAGACCAGCCTGACCAACATGGTGAAACCCTTCTTCTACTAAAAATACAAAAACTTAGCCAGGTGTAGTGGTGTGCGCCTGTAATCCCAGCTACTCAGGAGGCTGAGGCAAGAGAATCACTTGAACCCGGGAGGTGCAGGTTGCAGTGAGCCGAGATCATGTCACTGCACTGCAACCTGGGCAACAGAGCAAGACTCCAACTCAACACACACACACACACACAGACACGGTAAGAGTCACCGATTAGGTTATTTTTAAGGATTAAATTACATAATCCATGTAAAGTACATAGCATGTAGAAAATTCTCAATGTGTAGTGGGGTGCGGTGGCTCATGCCTGTAATCCCAGTACAGGCCAAACTGGGTGGATCACCTAAGGTCAGGAGTTCGAGACTAGCCTGACCAACATGGAGAAACCCAATCTCTATTAAAAATACAAAATTAGCTGGCACGATGCCACATGCCTGCAATCCCAGCTACTCGGGGTGCTGAAGTAGGAGAATGACCTGAACCCGGGAGGTGGAGGTTACGGTGAGCCAAGATTGCACTCCAGCCTGGGCAACAAGAGTAAAACTCCGTCTCAAAAAAAAAAGAGGGGGAGAGAAAAAGAAAATTCTCGATGTGTACACTGTTCTGCTTCTCATCATTACCAGTCATGTTAAAAAAAATAAACAAGCGGGAACAAACATGGCCCCAGCTGCTCAGGTGGTGTGGGCGCTGTGGCCTGGCAGGTGCACCTTGGCCTGGAGGCTGGGCGGCCGCCCCCAGCTGCTGCTCCCCACACAGAACCAGGCTGGCTTCACAGGGGTGGCGGGCGGCTCGGGTCCTGTGGCTGCCACCCATAAGGGGAGCCCACGGCTGCTAGGGGCAGTGGCACTTGCCCTGGGGGGAACCCTGGGGCTGTACCACACAGCTCGGTGGCACCTGCACACCCAGGACCTCCATGCAGAGCACTCAGCCACGCAGCTCTCCCTGTCCAGCCACCTGCAGCTGACCCTGTACCAATACAAGACGTGTCCCTTCTGCAGCAAGGTCCGAGCCTTCCTCGACTTCCATGCCCTGCCCTACCAGGTGGTGGAAGTCAATCCTGTGCACAGGGCTGAGATCAAGTTCTCCTCCTACAGAAAGGTGCCCATCCTGGTGGCCCAGGTTGGAAAAAACAACAACTGAACAACTCCTCTGTCATCATCAGTGCCCTCAAGACGTACCTGGTTTCAGGGCAGCCCCTGGAAGAGATCATCACCTACTATCCAGCCATGAAGGCTGTGAACGTGACCAGGGCAAGGAGATGACCGAGTTCGGCAATAAGTACTGGCTCATGCTAGACGAGAAGGAGGCCCAGCAGGTGTACGGCAGGAAGGAGGCCAGGACGGAGGAGATGAAGTGGTGGCAGTGGGTGAACGACTGGCTGGTGCACGTGATCTCCCCCAACGTGTACCGCACGCCCACTGAGGCTCTGGCGTCCTTTGACTACACTGTCCGCGAGGTCAAGTTTGGAGGACGCTGTGGCCAAGTACATGGGTGCAGCGGCCATGTACCTCATCAGCAAGCGACTCAAGAGCAGGCACCACCTCCAGGACAACGTGCGTGAGGACCTTTACGAGGCTGCCAACAAGTGGGTGGCTGCTGTGGGCAAGGACCAGCCCCCTTCATGTGGGGCCGGAGGCCGAACCTCGCCAATCTGGCGGTGTATGGCGTGCTGCGAGTGATGGAGGGGCTGGATGCCTTTGATGACATGATGCAGCACACTTGCATCCAGCCCTGGTACCTGTAGGTTGAGAGGGCCATCACCAAGGCCTCCCCAGAGCACTGAGTGTCTCCACAAGCAGCAGGGGGAAGGCAGCAGAAGACGCCAGCTGCCAGGGCCTGGGGCCACTGGGCCAGTGCCTGGCAATGCTGGTGTGGGCAGGATCATTCTGGCTCTTGTCCACCCACCCCCCAGCCCTCTTGCTTCTAACACAGGGCACCTGCTAGGGCCCAGGGATGTTGGGGACGAGTTCCAGCCCTGCTCCTACCTTGGGCCGGACCTTCCCTGTCCTGGCCTCGCTGCTCTGCCGCCTCTCTCCCAGGCCCTCAGTGGCTGTCCCATGGCTACATCCCATGGGTGGGGGCCCTGGCAGGACAGCAGGACAGTTCATTTTCGGTGGAATGCCATCACTGGGTTCCGCTGGTTCCGACTCTTCCCAAGCCTCCTGGGACTGGGACACATTTGCAATAAAGGAAAGGTTTGTGGCCCCGTCACAGCGGGCATCACTTGGAAAATAAAAAATAAATAAACAAGCAAGGCTGGGTGTGATGGCTCATGCCTGTAATCCCAGCACTCTGGGAGGCCAAGGCAAGCAGATCACGAGGTCAGGAGTTCAAGACCAGCCTGACAAACATATTGAAACTTTGTCTCTACTAAAAATACGAAAATTAGCCAGGCATGGTGGCACGCTCCTGTAATCCCAGCTACTCAGGAGTCTGAAGCAGGAGAATCACTTGAACCAGAGAGGCAGAGCTTGCAGTGAGCCAAGATTGTGCCACTGCACTCTAGCCTGGGTGACAGAGCCAGACCTCGACTCAGAAAAAAATAAATAAAATAAAATAAAATAAGCATTAACACGAGCGGCTAGACAAGCTCTCACTTCTGGTCCAAAAAGCACTGAGATATGTTTGCTTAGCTCCATTTCCTGGCCCAGGAAACACCCAACACCTCAGCAGAAGAAGAACATAACTAACCTATCTTTCATGTCTTTGGATCCAGGGAACAATCAATTCAGAGAATAATCAAGGCTCATGCTATATTGATAAGATGCTTAAGATCACAATGAACATTAAGTCAGAACTCAAGCCTGACCTTTACCCTATACTCAAGTTTGACAAGATGCAGTTTTTGCCCAGTCTTCCCCTCAACCTACTAAGGTAATGCAGTGGTTAAGAGCAAAAGCTCTGGAGTTTGACTGCCTGGGTGCAAACTGGTTCCATCATTCATATGCTGTGTGACTTAGGCAAATTCGTTTATTTGCCTTATTTCTCTAAGACTTTGTTTCTCCATCTTTTAAATGAGAATAACAACTATTTTAATTTTTATGGTAACAGCTGACATTGGATAAGCACTTTCTGTGTGCCAAGAACTATGCTAAACACTTTACATAGCTTATGTCATTTAACTGTCACCACCAGCTTAGGAGGCAGGTATTATTATTCTCATGGTACAGATATAGATGCTCCTTGACTTATGATGAGGTTACATCCCGAATACCTTAAGTCAAATACACATTTAATACACTTAGCCTACCAAACATCATAGCTTAGTCTAGACTATCTTAAACACACTCAGAACACTTAAATTAGCCTAGAGCTGGGTAAAATCATCCAACACAATGATTATAAACTTGAATATCTCATGTAATTTATCAAACACAGTACAGTATGCAGTATTGGTTGTTTGCCTTCATGATTGCATGGCTGACTAGGAGTTGCTTGTTGCTGCAGCCATGCATCATGAGAACATATCAAACAACGTGTTGCCAGGCCAGGAAAAGATCAAAATTCAGAATTTCTAGTGTAGTTTCTAATTAACACATATAGCTTTTGCACCATTGTAAAGTTGAAAATTGTAAGGCAAACCACTGTAAGTCAGGACTATCTGTACAGATGAGGCAGAGTTTTTCTTGTTCAAGGCCACGCAGTCAGTTACTGGCAAAACTTAGATGTCAATGCAGGAGGTCTGACCCCAGAGTCTATGCTCTTTACTCCTACTACACTGCTCTACTTCTCAAAGTACTAGCATCACATGGTTGTTAGAAGATGGCAACCCACATAAAGTGCTTATCACAGTGCCAAGTTCATCAAAGCTGGCCATTACTATCATTTTTGTTATCGCCATTATCAATTCCTTTAAGCCTCTCCCAAAAATTACTACCTCCTAAGTTCCAACTTCATCTAAAAGGACAGGGTTGTTTTCTTACCTAGCTACCACCTCACTGAGTAGCTCGGAGTAGGGTTGTAGTATTTTTATTTAATTTCCCTCATGTAATCCAGGATAAGTACCTGGGTGGAGAAAAAGGAAAATATTTATTAGAAACATATTATTCTATAAAAAAGCAATATTCTAAGTCTTTCTTTTTAAAAATAAAATCTTTATTAATCTCTTAGGAAAAAATATACACTTACAAAACTTTTTTTTTTTTCAAAACAAGGCAGAGACAAATAGTATTTACTTTAAAAAGAAACTGTCAGTCCTCTACCTCCCTTCCTCATTCTACTCTGTTCTCAAAACTGACAGGCTTTAAAGTAATTATTTAAAAAGCCGGGTCAGCCAACGCAGTGGCTCATGCCTATAATCCCAGCACTTTGGGAGGCCAAGGTAGGTGGATTACCTGAGGTCAGGAGTTTGAGAACAACTTAGCCAACATAGTGAAACCCATCTCTACTAAAAAAAATACAAAATTAGCCATGCGTGGTGGCGGGCGCCTGTAATCCCAGCTACTTGGGAGGCTGAGGCAGGGGAATCACTTGAACCTGGGAGGCGGAGGTTGCAGTGAGCTAAGATAATGCCACTGCACTCCAGCCTGGGTGACAGTGTGACACAACATCTCAAAACAAACAAAAAAAAAAGCCAGGGTTGATGGGGCTGGGAGCAGTGGCTCATGCTACAATCCCAGCACTTTGGGATTTGGGAGGCCAAGGCTGGCAGATCACCTGAGGTCAGGAGTTCGAGACCAGCCTGGCCAATATGGTGAAACCCTACGTCTACTAAAAATACAAAAAATTAGCCAGGTATGATGGCATGTGCCCATGGTCCTAGCTACACAGGAGGCTGAGGCAGGAGAATCACTTGAGCCCTGAAGGCAGAGGTTGCAGTAAGCTAAGACTGCACCACTGCACTCCAGCCTGGACAAGAGCAAAACTCTGTCTCAAAAAAAAAAAAAAAAAAATTAAAATTAAATGAATGTATTTGTTCAGCTCCTATGTTCTAGGCACTGTTCTAGGAGTGAGGTTATAGCAATGAAGAAAACAAAGTTGTAACTATCATGAAATTTACATTCTAGTGGAGGGTGGCATGCAATAAACTATGGTAGAGAGTCCCTACAACACAATGCCTGGCATGCAGTAGGCAGCACTTAACATAAGTACTTACTAAATAATGAACAATGAATGAATAAAATGTATGAATAAACAGTATGTGCTATGCAGAAAAATAAAACTGGGAAGGGGACCAGAGAAAGCAGAGGGCAGAGAGATGGCTTTTATTTTAAACAAGGCAGTTAAGGTATATTGCATTGATTAAGTGACAGTTGAGCAGAAACCTGAAGGAGATAAGGGAGAAGTCCACACTGATGTCTGGAAAAATGATGTTCCTGGCAGAAAAAAAAAACCACAAAGGCCCCAAGGCCTGGCATGCTGGAGCAACTACAAAGGAGACCAGTATGGCTACAGCACCAGGGAAAGTGGTAGGAAATGAAGTCAGAGCAGCTGGGAGACGGTGGTGCAGATCCCATATGGTCTTGCAGACCATGGTAGAGAATCTATCTTTTTTTTTTGTTTTTTTTTTGACTCATCAATGAGAGCTTCTTATGTTGCTCAGGTTGGCCTTGAACTCATAGCCTCACCTCCTCAAGCGCCAAGACAACTGGCCGGAGCCACCGCAGCTCCCGAGAATCTACCTTTTAAACTAGGTGGGATTTTAATCTCAGCACCCAGGTGACAGTTTTCAGCAAAGCAGTGACTTGATCTGATACACGCTTAAAAGAATAATTCTGGTCACTGTTAAAATTAGATTGAGGGGGCAAAAAGCAAACGGAGGAAGACCATTTAGTTATTCCAGTAGCAACAGGGCAGGTGGTGGGAAGTGTTTAAATACTTGATATATTTTAAGGTGAAGCTGACAGACCTACTGGTGGACTGGATGAGGAGAATGAAAAAACAGAGTTAAGGGAGACACTCTATATATTCAATATAGAGAAGAATAACAACTCTGAGATGGGGAGGACCTTCCAGAGAAGCAGATTTGAGAGGAGATGTTCTGAAAATTTTTAATAAGTTCAATAGGCTACCAGGCACCCAAAAGGAAATATCCAGTGAATAGCTAGATGTAAGTCTTGAGTTCAGGGAAGGACATTCAAGCTAATAATGTAAATTCATGAACTGTCAGGAAATAATGGCATTTAAAATCTTGATCAAGTCCAGCTGATCAACATAGCAAGACCGTGTCTCCATAAAAAAATAATAATTTAGCCAGGCGTGGTGGTGGGCACCTGTAGTCCTAGCTACTGAGGAGGGGCGGGAGGATTGCTTGAGACCAGGAATTCAAGGCTGTACACAGTCAACTACGATCATGCCACTGCACTTCAGCCTGAGCAACAGAGTTAGAACTTGTCTCTAAAAAATAAAGTACTGAAAGAGAGCACCTAGGAAAAGAGTGTAGACAGAGAAGGTATCCAAGGTAAGCGATCCTCCCACCTCAGCCTCCCAAGTAGCTGGAATTACAGGCACCCACCACCACACCTGCTAATTTTTGTATTTTTAGTAGAAACAGCATTTCACCTTGTTGGCCAGGCTGGTCTCAAACTCCTGACCTCAGGTGATCCACCCACCTCAGCATCCCAAAGTGCTGGTATTACAGGCATGAGCCACTGTACCCAACTGCCCCTTCTTTCTTTTATGGGACAGAGAGTTATTGATCATTAGCTAACTCAAAGGTTAGGTTTAATTTACAATTTCTCCTTAGAATCTCTAGACAAGAAGTACAATTTCTGATGTCTTCACCTTAGAATTACTGCTATAAAGTAAGGCCTTTAACTTTCTGTGCTGCAGCAAGTATAGTCAAGTCTCAATAATCTATGCTAGTGAAGTAGCAAAACAATAATCACCAAAATCTGGATAATGTGAACATCCTTAATATCTTCCTGACATGGCTACAACTTCTGAATGGACTGTGCTCTCTTTGGCTTCAGGGCTTTGATTCCTCTGCCTGGAATACCCTTCCCTCTCCTCCACCTTACAGTCTGCTAGTTTGAAACTCCTTGCCTCAACCTGTCCAGTAGCAGGGATTACAGATACGTATCACTATGCCTAGCTAATTTTTAAATTTTTTTAGTAGAGATAGGGTTTCCCTATATTGCCCAGGCTGGTCTTGAATTCGTAGGCTCAAACAATACTCCTGCCCCCGGCCTCCCAAAGTGCAGGGATTACAGGTGTAAGCCACCACACCCAACTATACCAACCCCAACACATTTCTTACATTTCTCAGAGAACCAAGTGATCTCAAAACAGCAGTGTAGGGTCACCAGCACATGAGGTCAAACTGTTAACTACAAAATGGGTAAGATATATTGTTTGGGGCCAGGTGCGGTGGCTCAAGCCTGTAATCCCAGCACTTTGGGAGGCCAAGGCAGGCCGATCACGAGGTCAAGAGAGACTATCCTGGCCAACATGGTGAAACCCTGTCTCTACTAAAAATACAAAAATTAGGTGGGCATGGTGGCATGCGCCTGTAGTCCCAGCTACTCCAGAGGCTGAGGCAGGAGAACTGCCTGAACCCGGGAGACGAAGGTTGCAGTGAGCCGAGATCCTGCCACTGCACTCCAGCCTAGCGCCTGGCAACAGAGCAAGATTCTGTCTCAAAAAAAGATAAATTGCTTCGAAGTGCCAGTTTCTAGCTTCTGGCTGGAGGCTACACTTCCCAGCCTGGCAGAAAGGCCACCGTGCAGGCTGCAACTCTTTATGAGAAATAAAGCTCTGTTTTCCAAAAGAAAAAAATTTTAAAAAGATATATTTCTAGCTGTAGTAGCCTAGAAAGTAACAGCGGAAAAGTTTTCTCAATTTACTGTTATTTATTTCTTATTATTTTTCTTTTTTTAGATAGGGTCTCGCTCTGTTGTCCAGACTGGAGTGAAGTGACAGGATTACGGCTCACTGAAGCCTCTAACTCCTGAGCTCAAGTGATTGTCCCACCTCAGCCTTACAAGTAGCTGGGACTACAGATGCACGCCACCACACCCAGTTAATTTTTTTAATTTTTTAATTTTTTTGTACAGAGAGGGTCTAACTATGTTGCCCAGGCTGGTCTCCAACTCCTGGACTCCAGTAATTCTCCTGCATCAGCCTCCCAAAATGCTGGGATTACAGGTGTGAACCACCATGCCTAGCCTACTATTACTTTAAATAAAAGAGAAACAGAAAGATAAATCTTAAGGGAGAGAGAAAAAGAAACCACTTAAAAAAAAAAGTGTGTAATGACTTCTGGATTCAAGAAAAAAAAAAAGTTACATGTTAGCAGCACTTTTTTTTTTTTGAGATGGATTCTTGCTCTGTCGCCCAGGCTGGAGGGCAGTAACACCATCTCAGCTCACCTCAACCTCCATCTCCCAGGTTTACATTCACATGCCTTAGCCTCCCGAGTAGCTGGGATTACAGGCAGATACCACCATGCTCAGTTAAATTTTTTTGTGTATTTTTAGTAGAGACAGGGTTTTGCCATGTTGGTCAGGCTGGTCTCAAACTCCACCTGCCTCACCACCTCATCCACTGCACTCAGCCAATATGGCAAATTTAAATAGCTATAGGCCAGGCATGGTGACTCACATCCATAATCCCAGGACTCTGGGAGGCTGAAGCAGAAGAATCACTTGAGCTCAGGAATTCAAAACCAACCTGAGCAACATAGCAGGACCTCATCTCTACTAAAAATTAAAATTAAAAGATTAGCCGCATGGTGGACACACACCTGTAGTACCAGTTCCTGAGGAGGCTGAGGTACAAGGATTACTTGAGCCCAGGAGACTGAGGTGGCAATGAGTTATGACAGAGCCACTATACTACAGCCTGGGTGACAGAGCGAGACCTTTTCTCAAAAAATAAATAAAAATTAAAAATTAAATAGCTGTAGTATGCCTGCTGAACCAGGTAGATTAGAGGAAAAAAAATTTGGTCCCTGTCCCAAGGGAACTCAAGAGTCTTATTGAGGAATCCTTCCTACCCCTTCTAAACCCATAAATGTAAATATCAGAGAAAAGAGAGAAGAGACTTTCCAAAGTAAGAGTTAGGAACTTAAGGTAAATGCATTGGCTGTTTGGGGGCAGAAAAATGATGACTGGCTGGAAAACTTTTTGAGTTTATGGTAAAGTCATCCCATACATTAAAGTCCACATATATATCACAAGCATCAGAAACTATGGAAAGTGCAATCCACAACTAGGAGCCAAGAAGCCTATGTAACCTTGAGCAAGTCGCTTCACTCCACTGATCCAAAAATGGCTCTTCCGTAAAATGGGCATAATAAGAAAGTTGGCAAACTTGCCTGTGATGATTAAACAATGTGAAATCATTTTGAAAGGTTTTAGGTGACATATCAACTTAACGTAGAGGAAGCAACAATCATTCCTCTGACTGGAATATAAATCCTATGGTTCAACTTCCAAAGTCTAAACCTGACTCACCTTCTTAGCCTTGTTAACCTCCTCAACCAACCTGTGGTCACTGAGTAAGAGAAGATGAGTTACGTGTGAAGCTCCAGGGGTGAAGCAGTGACTACTCAGCCAATTGCTCCATGTCTCAGTGGCTTCATCTATAAAACGGATGGTGTGGAATTCACTCAGGTATCCCTAAGATAATGCAAGTCTGAGGAAGGGAGTGGAGATTTTACCAAAAATGTGGAAAATATTTACATAACCATCCCACCACCCCGGGATAAATAACCAAGGTCAAATATCATCACCTCCTGGACATCATGAATCATTTAATCTCTTGCTTTATAGATGGGAGCACTGAGACCCTGACAGATGAAGCAAGTTGTAGAAGTCTCAGAGCTAGTCACGGGCAGAGCTAAGACTAGGGCCCAAAGCCTCAAATTCCAAAGTCCAGTGCCTCTTTGCCAGATCACAGCATCACCCAAGGTTCCTGTATGACATGTTATCAACCCCAAGACACACTACAATTTAACCAACAATCAAATGTGGACTACAAGGAACTGTAAGATTGTGGGGGAAGCAGGGAGGCTGAGAACTGGGGGAGCTGGGAAAGGTAAGCCTTCACTGAGGAGGTGTGCTAAGTCCCAAAGGTACATAACAGAAAATTATGGAAATATTTCAGTAGGTAGTCTTGGAAATAAAGACCTGACGGATAAAATTTTCTCTAGGGAAGAGAAATAGATTAGATTTACAAGGCCAGAAGGCTTTGTTTGAACATTCCTTGATTAGATGAGATTTAGTCCTTTTTTGTGACGAGTTTCTAACACTTGTTAATATTTTTAATTCCCTCATCTATTACATCTCTGGACAGGACCCTCTGCAGAGACCATATCCAGTTTAGTGGTTAAGTAGGTATCTCCGGACTCAGACTGACTAAATTCAAATCCTTGCTTTACCTCTTCACCAATCTGTACCTCTGTAAAACTGACCTAATATCATCACCCATTTCAGGAGGTTTTGTGAAGATTAAATTTGTATAAGCAGTCAACACTAATGGGTTTTTAATCACTTTATTTATTTATTTTTTGAGACAGAGTCTCGCTCTGTCACCCAGGCTGGAGTGCAGTGGCGCAATACTGGCTCACTGCAACCTGTGTCTACCAGGTTCAAGTGATTCTCCTGCCTCAGCCTCCCAAGTAGCTGGGACTACAGGCATGTGCCACCAGGCCCAGCTAATTTTTTGTATTTTTAGTGGAGACAGGGTTTCACCACGTTAGCTAGGCTGGTCTCAATCTCATGACCTCATCATCCCCTGGCCGAGGCCTCCCAAGGAGCTGGGATTAGAGGCATAAGCAACCGTGCCCTAATCACTTTATTTATAATGTGTTCTTTTTTTTTTTTTTTTTTTGAGATGAAGTCTGACTGTTACCCAGGCTGGAATGAGGTGGTGTACAGTCTCAGCTCACTGCAACCTCCGCCTCCTGGGTTTCAAGCAATTCTCCTGCTTCAGCCTCCCTAGAAGCTGGGATTACAGGTGTGTACCCCACACCTGGCTAATATTTTTTTTGTATTCTTAGTAGAGATGGGGTTTCACCATGTTAGTCAGGCTGGTTTTGAATTCCTGACCTCAGGTGATCCACCGGACTCAGCCTCCCAAAGTGCTGGGATTACAGGTGTGAGCCACCACGCCTGGCCAATGTGTCCTTTTTTATATATAAAGACTAGAAATTACCCAAGAACACTGCATGTAGTAATTACTGTTTTGCAAGAATTTTGTTATATGTGTGTACATAATGTCTTAAGTCATAATGTAAAATTTGTTTCTTACAGTGGTTTTTTAAAAAACGTGAAAAACACTAAATACATAAGGCTTAGAACAATGCCTAGCACACGGTAAGCACTCTTACTGTGCTATAACTGTTAAATGTGGTTGCAGGGTTATATAAACTAATATGACAGCACTTTGGAAAATATATCTGATAGCAACATAAGTTAAAGGCAAAAGGCCCTTCTTTTGTGTATCACACCCACACAATCAGAGCCCTGCTCAGGCACCCATTCGGCCCACTGAAGAGGCCACAGACTGACCTAACACTCTGTCATGCTCTGTCAATCTCCGCAGAGAAATGGAGGTTTGGTGCCAGAGTGTATTCATTTTTACCTGGTTGGGGTGTTGGGGTGGAGAAGGCAAGAGTCAAGCCCATGGGGAGCTGAGGGAAGCAAATGAGTCATACAGAGAACTGTTTGCTCCCCCGGAGCCAGGTAGACTCAAAAGTGCCACAGCCAGGGCCAGAGTGACAGATACCTGAGTCTCTGCGCGGGCTGAATCACTTCCCCCTCCCTATTCTCACCAGACACCGCATAAGAGCATTTGAGACCGCCCATTACAGATGTACCTCATATCAAGAAAAGCTGGAGCCGCCAAACAGATACAAAAAGGGGCTGACTACACAACAAAAGATTACCTGAAGTATTCATTTAAATGACAAGCTCCCCTAAACGTTTAAAATAGCATTTAAATTCCAAAAGTCGGATTTACAGAAAAATCTGGAAAATGTGCTCACCAGTAAGGAAATCTGGAGGTCCATTCCCGACACTGTGTGACCTTGAATTAGGCACTTCATCTTTAAGTGTCTTCCTCTGTTTAAAAGAGAGAGAGAGATAAGATCACCTACCTCAGAGGCTCATGGTAAAAATTAAACAGAGGATGCGGTGAAATGCCTAGCATCGAATGTGCTGACACTGGCCAATGCACAATAAACACCTGTCCCCTCTAAAGTAAAACTGAACACTAATGGTGTTAAACTGTTAATAAGATTCACCGGCCAATTGGCCTGTGAAAAAGTCAGAGGCATTCTAGTCTCTTCACGGAAGTTCTCTTGCTTTTAAAAGCTTTATAAACCATCTCTTGTTCTCCCCAGCACAACGGACCATGCTAGGAAGTCTAGAAAAGCAGTAAATTATCTCATTCCTTAAATTAAACAGAGGTTTCTAAATGCTTTGGTACGGTGGGGACCCAAATTATCCTTTGATACTGCCCATTATCCATTATTAAGCTTTAAAAGGGCGAGAGGCTAAATATCGTGCCTACATTTTACAGTTATTCGCGTTTCCGTTTCAAATTAAAGGGAAGAAAACGCGTTAAAATTAGGCCTCAGAGCTTCAGACCAGCCTGCGGTTTTTTTTTAAATCCCAAAGGGGTCATAAGACTCGTGGAGCAGGGAAGGCCCGGGGGAGGAAAAGGGGTGCATTCTAGCGCTTTCAGGCGGACCCCAATTTCTCGTTGGCGACAAATGCTAGCCACGTGTAGCCATTTTGTCTACAAGAAATATGGCGGCTGCCCCGCGGGAAGGAACGGGGGAGGCGGAGTAGCGCTACGTTGGCCGCTTTCCCTGAGGAATTCTGAAGCACGTTGCGCACGGGGCCTTTTCTGGTCTGGCTTAGGCCAAGGGGAAAGGGCAGAAATCACAACTCATAGGCCAGCGTCTCGAGCGACACTTCCTCAGCGGGAGCAACCGGCAGCAAAGGCCTTCCAAGATGGCGGGCCGTGGTGGGGCCGCTCCTGGAGAGCGGGGCGCGGTGGCTGCGCCCATGAGCCTAAAAGCCAACTGTGAGCCCAGGCCGCGCGGGAATAGCCGCAGAATGAAATGCCCTGAAGCCCCGGTCGGCACCCCCTGAACAAAAGAGGCCTCCACAGGCGCACACTATTGTTTCTAATGTCGGACAAGGGTGCCGCGGTGGAAACGACACAAGGGCAGGAGGTGGGGTTTCTGTGGCTTTAACCGAAACTTGTGAAACGCAAACAAAGCATTATGTAAATGGACGCCATTCTTTTTAGGACCACGTTTCTAGCACGCCCCACAAACAGCAGAGCCGCGATTAGGAAGGCGGCCGTGTCGGTTTCGGTTTTTCTGCTCACCGACCGCCGCTGGGGGGCAGGGGCAGGGGCCGGGGTGTGGGTGGGGGTTGATGCGGGACGCCCGCGCGCACTCGCTCCGCAAGCCTCGCCTCGCCGCCCCTCCCCCCCGGAAGACGGCCGGTGCCCCTCCCGTCCCCCCCACACCCTCGCGCACGCGCCCTGACCACCTCACGCGCACGTTTTAAACCCGCGGCGTCCCGGCTGGTGCCTGCAGTTTCCGCCGGGGCTGTCCGTGTCGCTCCGCGCAGGAATCCCTTATGTAGAACAGGAAAATAATGTCTTTCTACCATACACAACACTAGTAATTTCAGTCATCTGCCAGTGCCGTTAAAGTTAATAAAATACGTATCATTTTAAAACTTTGCCGGACTCACAGCTTCCCCCCTTAGTGCGCTTCGTTCTCACTACTGCAGTGTCAGAAGGGTTTTTTTTTTTAAGGACCATGTGAGGGTTGGCGCAATCTTGTGACCTAAAAAAGACGGGTCCTCATTTTTTTTCAAGGGGTCCTGCACAGCAAGCACTTCCGGGGTCAGAGGGTACGCGGGGTTGAAAGCGGGCTTCCCGCCCCGCCCAGACCGCCGAGGCTGCCGCCGGAGTCGCCACCGCCGCGCCCTCGCCCACCCGCCAGCCCGCCGCTCCCGGCCCCGCTCGCCCCCTCCGCCGACGCCGCCCGCCCCTGAGACTACGCTGCGGCCTCCCACCCGCTCCCGCTCTCTCCCGCGGCCCTCGCTCGCCTCGCGCCGGCAGTTTTGGGCCTACACCTCCCCTCCCCCCGCCAGCCGCCAAAGACTTGACCACGTAACGAGCCCAACTCCCCCGAACGCCGCCCGCCGCTCGCCATGGATGCCGGTGTGACTGAAAGTGGACTAAATGTGACTCTCACCATTCGGCTTCTTATGCACGGAAAGGAAGTAGGAAGCATCATTGGGAAGAAAGGGGAGTCGGTTAAGAGGATCCGCGAGGAGAGTGGCGCGCGGATCAACATCTCGGAGGGGAATTGTCCGGAGAGAATCATCACTCTGACCGGCCCCACCAATGCCATCTTTAAGGCTTTCGCTATGATCATCGACAAGCTGGAGGAAGATATCAACAGCTCCATGACCAACAGCACCGCGGCCAGCAGGCCCCCGGTCACCCTGAGGCTGGTGGTGCCGGCCACCCAGTGCGGCTCCCTGATTGGGAAAGGCGGGTGTAAGATCAAAGAGATCCGCGAGAGTACGGGGGCGCAGGTCCAGGTGGCGGGGGATATGCTGCCCAATTCCACCGAGCGGGCCATCACCATCGCTGGCGTGCCGCAGTCTGTTACCGAGTGTGTCAAGCAGATCTGCCTGGTCATGCTGGAGACGCTCTCCCAGTCTCCGCAAGGGAGAGTCATGACCATTCCGTACCAGCCCATGCCGGCCAGCTCCCCGGTCATCTGCGCGGGCGGCCAAGATCGGTGCAGCGACGCTGCGGGCTACCCCCACGCCACCCATGACCTGGAGGGACCACCTCTAGATGCCTACTCGATTCAAGGACAACACACCATTTCTCCGCTCGATCTGGCCAAGCTGAACCAGGTGGCAAGACAACAGTCTCACTTTGCCATGATGCACGGCGGGACCGGATTCGCCGGAATTGACTCCAGCTCTCCAGAGGTGAAAGGCTATTGGGCAAGTTTGGATGCATCTACTCAAACCACCCATGAACTCACCATTCCAAATAACTTAATTGGCTGCATAATCGGGCGCCAAGGCGCCAACATTAATGAGATTCGCCAGATGTCCGGGGCCCAGATCAAAATTGCCAACCCAGTGGAAGGCTCCTCTGGTAGGCAGGTTACTATCACTGGCTCTGCTGCCAGTATTAGTCTGGCCCAGTATCTAATCAATGCCAGGCTTTCCTCTGAGAAGGGCATGGGGTGCAGCTAGAACAGTGTAGGTTCCCTCGATAACCCCTTTCTGCTGTTTTCCCATGATCCAACTGTGTAATTTCTGGTCAGTGATTCCAGGTTTTAAATAATTTGTAAGTGTTCAGTTTCTACACAACTTTATCATCTGCTAAGAATTTAAAAATCACATTCTTTGTTCAGCTGTTAATGCTGGGATCCATATTTAGTTTTATAAGCTTTTCCCTGTTTTTAGTTTTGTTTTGGGTTTTTTGGCTCATGAATTTTATTTCTTGTTTGTCGATAAGAAATGTAAGAGTGGAATGTTAATAAATTTCAGTTTAGTTCTGTAATGTCAAGAATTTAAGAATTAAAAAAACGGATTGGTTAAAAAATGCTTCATATTTGAAAAAGCTGGGAATTGCTGTCTTAAACTCTTTGTTGGTGCTTTTTTTTCTCCCGTTAGCCTGAGGTGTTTGGAGGGAGGAGGGAGAAGGGTGGGCCCGTCCTTGGTATTCTCTCAAGCCCTTCTCACCTTATCGGTAAGATTCCATTCTCTCTCTGCCCCAACAAAGGAACATGGCAGGCTGGGCCTGCTTTGGGATGTTTCCAGAGACAGAGGGGTTCAAGTTCCAGAGAGAGGCCTCTGCCCGTTTCTCTGGTAGAAACAGGGTTTTCTCGAGGGGAAAAGGTGTGCCCACTCAGTAGGACCTCCGAATGGCATAGCGTCCTCTCCATCTAACTAGTCCCCCCACCCCCACCTCACATGATAAACTTAGGAACAAAAAAAAAATATTCTGTGGGAGGAGCCTGGGGAAGGGTTATGGGGGAGGGAAAGGAAGAGAAGGGAGGGCAATGGGGGGTGGAATTGGGGGCCTGGAGAAGGGCAACAGCTGCAGGGTGGTGGTGGGAACAGAGGGGTCTTGGTTGGGCAGCAAGGGTGGGAAGGGGGAGGGGATGGTACCAACAAGACGCACGTGTCGAGCATGCACCTGTGGCAAGCAGCCTGTCAGAGGATGTTATTACACCTGCCAAGTGGTGTATCCAGAAACAAAAGAGGCCCAGTTTCCAGTTCTTCAGCTGTGTGCAATGTTTAGAGAATCGCTATACCAGGAAATAATCCTGCCTTAATGGGTCAGTCATAACAGGCAGGAATGTAGACTGATGTAGTGACTATTACCTAAGAAGATCTGGGTGTTAAAGATACAGATTCCTGTGTCCCACCCCAAAACTAATCAGCTACATTTTTAACACCCCAAAGGAGTCTTAGATTTGAATGCCACTGATTGTCTTCAGTGGAGGAAGATCCTGCTGTGAAGGCATAGCAACCTCACACCCTCATCAGCCAATGGGACAGACCTGACCTGATGAGAAAAGGAAAACAATGCTAGGCAAAGGCAACATTAGAAACAATAGTACACGGAAAATAGAGCCTGAGATGAGGGAAAGAAGAAACAATAGTATCAAACAATAGACCACTAGGTGCCAAAGTGGGTAGTTCAAACCCCAGCCACTATGGGAGATCACTCATGGCAAAGAAGTTCTTGTGGGAGGGAAGTAGTATCTGCAGTAAATATTTGTTGAGGCTTATTCTCTACAGGACATCTTCCTGAGGTACAGGCCTGGTTCTGAGAGTCCCTGGAGGTTAAGATTGGGGTCTGCCATGCACCTCACACTATGGCCATGCAGGGTTAGGCAAGCAGTCACTGAAAGGAGCCCAAATTTGCTCTCACATTTAAGTTCTGCCGCTCATTCATGGCTTTGGGCAAATTAAGCTCTGTAAACAAAGATGTTAAAAGTAACACCTCCTGGGCTTGTGAAAATAAGATGAAAGCATGTATTTAAGACAGAAGAGTACTTAGAACACTAGATTTCAGTGTACTCTGGATTATAAAAAGCCAAAAGGCCCATTTCTGGGGGCTGAGGGTAGGCCACAACATCTGGGCAGAGAAGACAAGATTAAAAGGTAGGGAACAAAGCAATGTGTATTAAATGAGTTGAACTGAGAGGCCAAGACAGGTGGGGAGGGAGAAGGGCCTGGTGAAGACCCAGAAGTGGGAACCATGCCTTCTGGGAACAATGAGCACAAATCCAAATCAAGGCAGGAGTGGATAGTAAGCTTGAACCCTCAAACACCAAGCTGAATGGTCTGTAAAGAGCCCCTGAAAGGCTGGGTGAAGCAGTTCAAACGCCTTATGAAAAGCAGGCCTTAATACGAAAAATTAGGCTGTGTGTGGTGGCTCATGCCTATAATTCCAACACTTTGGGAGGCCAAAGTGGGCAGATCACTTGAACTCAGGAGTTTGAGACGAACAGGGCAACAGGGCAAAACCTTGTCTCTACAAAAAAAAAAAAGAAAAAAACTAGCCAAGTATGGTGGTGTGCACCTGTTGTAGTCCCAGCTACTAGGGAGGCTGAGGTAGAAGATCACCCTGCACCTGGAAGGTAGGTCGGAGCTGCGGTGAGCTATGATCACATCAGTGCAGTCAGCCTGGGCAACAGAGCAAGAACCTGTCTCAAAAAAGAAAAGTAGGCCTCAAACTTTCCGGAACCTCCTCACTGCATCTTATAATGGGGAAAGCTGGCAGTAATTTGTAAAATAATGATTTAGGCAGCAAGGCAAAATGAATTGCTACTTGGAGAGATGAAAGGCAGGAATAGCAGTTGCCAAAGTCCCTCAAGAAAGAAGCAGGCTCTAATATAGGCTGGCAAGTGATATCAATAGGAATGCAAGGAAAGGAGCTAGTCAATGCAGAGAAATTGAAACTAGGTAAAAATAAAAATAAATTTTAAAAAAATGAAACTAGGTGTGGAGGCCAGAGAAACATGTAAAGACAGGAACGGTGAATTAAGGCATGGTGATAGAAGTAGATGCAGCCAGAAATATTCAACAAGTAGCTAGAAACAGGAGACAAGACTGACGAAAAGTCAGAGCTGCATAAGGACAGAGGTAAATGAGGGGAAGGGACTAGAGATGAAGTTTTGGGGTATCTTATTGGGTCAAAGAACCTGGTTTTCTTGGTCACTGCATATTCTAGTACCTGTCACCATACTTGACACACAGCAGGGACTCAATAAATATTTGTAAAGTGTGTGGAAGAGGCAGCCAGTGAGGACCGCAGGAATAGTTGAAGCAGCAGGAGAGAAATCAGGAGAGTGCCCTTGAGAGAAGTCAAGGAGGAACAGTCCAGGGCTGACGGAGTGACAATAATGCTATAAGGTGGTTATTTCACAGATTGGATCGAACACCTACTGTGGGCAAAGTACTCTGAACTACAACCTGCTGTTGTGGTGCACTTGGAAGATGTCTAGTAGCTGATTACAGTTAGAATATGATCTTTGGTAATGGGAGGCAGAGGAGGTGGAAGAAGCCATAAAATCATCTGGGGCTAAATTATCAACAGCCTTGAATGCCGTAACAAAGGCTTTGAGCTTCGTACTGAAAATCAGTGGTCTCCAAACATTTTCTTAAAGTGTAGGCCTTCAATAGCAAGTCGTTAGCATATACCTTTATAACACATTTGTTTACTTATAAATTATATATGTAGGCTAGTTCTCATGCTTATATGTAAGCTATATATAAGCAGAATTCTACATATGATATGCATTATAAACACAAAAATTAAATATTTGTTTAAAAACAAGTGAAATCTCTTATGAATCGGACAAGAGAAATTTTTCTAATTGAAATCTTTATTTATTTATTTATTCTGAGACAGAGTCTCACTGTTACCCAGGCAAGTGCCTCAGCTCACTGCAACCTCTGCCTCCTGGCTTCAAGCAGTTATCCTGCCTCAGCCTCCCAAGTAGCTGAGATGACAGGTTCCTGCCACCACACCCAGCTAATTTTTGTATTTTTATTTTTTTCATGTCAGATGGGTGATATGCCAACGTCGTAACAACGTTTAAGGGTGGCACATCTCACACAAGCATGTGAACACCCAATTGTCATGCTCATGAACTACAAAAGGATCTAATTTTTGTATCTTTAGTAGAAAAGCGGTTTCACCATTCTGCCAGGCTGGTCTTGAACCCCTGACCTCAGGTGATCTGCCTGGCCTCAGCCTCCAAAAGTGCTTGGATTACAGGTGTGAGCCACCTTAACTGACCTAAATTATTTTATTTATTTTGAGACAAGGTATCACTCTGTCATCCACGCTAGAGCGCAGTGGCATAGTCATGGCTTACTGCAACCTCAACCTCCCAGACTCAGCTGATCCTCCCACCTCAGCGTCCCGGGTAGCTGGGACTACAGGTGTGTGCCAACATGCCTGGCTAATTTTTGTATTTTTTTGTAGAAACAGGGTCTCACTATGTTGCCCAGGCTGGTCTTGAACTCCTGGGCTCAAGCAATCCACCTGCCTTAGCCTCCCAAAGTGCTGGAATTACAAGTGTGAGTCACTGCGCCTGGCTGAAATTTTTTTTTTTTAGACGGAGTCTTGCTCTGTTGGCCAGGTTGGAGTGACGCACAATCTCAGCTCACTGAAATCTCCACCTCACGGGTTCAAACAGTTCTCTGCCTCAGCCTGCAGAGTAGCTGGGATTACAGGTGTCTGCCACCACACCCAGCTAATTTTTGTATTTTTAGTAGAGATGGGGTTTCACCATCTTGTCCAGGTGGTCTTGAACTCCTAACCTCGTGATCCACTCACCTCGGCCTCCCAAAGTGCTAGGATTACATGTGTGAGCCACCATTCCTAGTCCAATATCTAAATCTTAATAGTTTTGTTGTTGTTGTTGTTGTTGTTGTTTTTCAGAATGAGTCTAGCTCTATCTCCCAGGCCAGAGTGCAGTGGTATAGTCCTGGCTCACTGCAACCTCTGCCTCCCGGGTTCCAGCAATTCTGCCTCAGCCTCCCGAGTAGTGGGGATTACAGGTGCTCACCACCATATTTGGCTAATTTTTGTATTTTTAGTAGAGATGAGGTTTCACCATGTTGGCCAGGCTGGTCTCAAACTCCTGACCTCAGGTGATCTGCTCGTCTCGGCCTCCCAATCCCTGTGCTGGGATTACAGGCGTGAACCACCATGCCTGGCCAATCTTAATAGTTTTTTTTACCCCTTCACCCCTGTCCTTTCAGACACTAAAGGAATTCTGGGGAAAACAATTTCACTGGAATGAGTATGCTTGGGGAGCAGAATATCAGAAGAGTGATGTAGGGAAGGCAATTTGCAGCAGGAGAGAAGGGCATAGTGGGTGAGGGAATGGAGGCAACGGTATCCACTGCTCAAATACATGATGGTGCAAAGGAGGGAAAGAAATAAGTCAAAAACTTGATCAGGAGAATTGGGGAAAAGATTATTTTGTTTTATTGGTTTTGAAAGGAACCTCACTAAAGGCAGAAAATAAGGAATCAATAGTAAGCTGAATGTTAAAGGTACAGGTAAGAGAAGACTATGGCTCTAGCCATAGTCTGTTGGACTGTTGGAATTGAACTCTGTCCCCTCTTCCATAGGAACCTGCATCTCAGAATTCCTCTCCTTTGTCCTTTCTCTTTGGCGCAGCTTGAGCATGTCCTGTCCTCTTCTGGATGGAGGGCTGGAAATTGATAAGGTCCCTAGGCAGTTGCTGTTTCTTGTCACAGCCTCATTCCTGCTACCAGCTGTTAGGCCACAGCCACTGCCATAGTTGGGAAGAACCCGAACAGGTTGACAAACACCTGTTGTGTCACAGCCATAGTAGTTGTATCATGTGTTTAGACTCCCCCAGTCCCCAGTCCCCTCCTTTGCCCCAAGCAAATATAGACACACACACACACACACGTACATGACCACCATGTGCTCCCCTCCAGCCAGTAGTTTAGACAGTGAATCACCACCCTTTGGTTCACCCCTAGAGCAGCTGCTTACTCCATGTGACCTGAAAAGTAAGCAGTATTTACCAAGAGCTTGAGGTTTGTGAGTTGAATCCACCTTACCCTTGCTACTCTTGGCTATCCCAAGTGGTGAACCACATACTGTCCAGCATCCCTGCCTGCCACCTCCTCCTGCCAGTGAGACAGCACCCAAACAGATGTACAAATAGGCAGTCACAGCAAGAAAAGCCTTCCACTACCAAGTCCTCTGGTCACCTCACCTAGCCTGGCCACCTGAGGGGCCTTCCTAAAATTCAAATCTAAACACGTGTCCCCCGATCAAAGGCCTTCCAGTCCCTCCTCACCCCCATGTTCTATGAAAGAAAACCCAAACTGTTCAGCACAGCTTTCCAGGCCCTTAAACATCTGTTTCCTCCCAGCCTCGCCAGTGCAAGGCCCACCATTCTCCTGCCACTACCTTCAGCCTTCCATGCAAAATAACTGACAGTTCCCCCAAAGCTATTCTGTGTGGGCATCCTTGCCTGTGGGACATCATTATTTCTTCACCCTTCTGATCCTGGCCGGGCTCTTCTTCCTTACCTGCCTGGGCTGCTGGGGCTCCTGCTCTTTCAGCAGCAACATTCTGCAAGGAAAATCACTCTGTGCTGAGACTGGGAGACCTGAGTTCTAGTTCTGGCTCTGGTATCAGCTCACTGGGAGAGCTTGGACAAATTCCTCCATCTTTCTGGGTCTTAGTCCTCCATCTGAGAAGACGGGGTAAGTTCAGACCCACGATTCTCTGGCTGCTTTGGAAAATAAGGCTTCCTTTGTGGGCACCCACCCCAGCTTCTGCCTCCTGCCACAGGGCTGACTTCTGACACACAGGCCTTCTGTAAGCACTCTAAGAGAGAAAAGCGGAAGTTGACAAAAAACTGGCAGCAACAAGCCCCAGCTTGGCATTTTGGGTAACTATTCATGGGCACTTGATTGAGGAAGAAGTAGAAAGGAAGAACTTCAGAGAGATTTGCTCGGAACATACCTGATCTATCGTGCTTGTCACTTTAGACGTTTTCTTATTTTATTTATTTGTTTTTAATTTTAATTTAATTTTTTTTTCTTTTTTGAAACAGAGGCTCACTCTGTCACCAGACTGGAATGCAGTGGCGTGATCTTGGCTCACTGAAAACTCTGCCTCCCAGGTTTAAGCAATTCTCCTGTCTCTGCCTCCCAAGTAGCTGGAATTATAGGCATTCGCCACCACGCCTGGCTAATTTTTGTATTTTTAGTAGAGATGGGGCTTCATGATATTGGCCAGGCTGTTCTCAAACTCCTGACCTCGGGTAATCCACCTGCCTTGGCCTCCCAAAATGCTAGAATCACAGCCATGAGCCACCTCTCCAGCCTTTTTTCTTATTTATTTATTTAGAGGCAGGGTGTCACTCTGTCACACAGGCTGGAGTGCAGTGGCACAATCTAGGCTCGCTGTAACCTCCACCTCCCAAGTTCAAGCGATCCTCCCACCTCAGCCTCCCCAGTAGTTGGGAGTACAGTTGTGAGGCATCACAGTGGCTGTTTTTTTTGTGTATTTTTTATAGAGACAGGGTTTTACCATGTTACCCAGGCTGGTCTCGAATTCTGGGGCACAAGCGATCCACCTGCCTCAGCCTCCCAAAGTTCTAGGATTATATGTGTAAGCCACCACGCCCAGCCTACCCAATTTTTCAATCAAGAAAGCAATATATGAAGCCTGGCATGGTGACTGACACCTATACTCCCAGCACTTTGGAAGGTGAAGGCAGGAGGATCAGTTGAGGCCAGGAGTTAGAGACCAGTCTGGGCAACATAGTGAGACCTTGTCTCTATTATATTTAAGAAGAACAAAAATTTAAAGGCCTGGAACAGTGGTTCATGCCTATAATCCCAGCACTTTGGGAGGCCAAGGCAAGTAAATCAGTTGAGGCCAGGAATAGACCTTGTCTCTATTATATTTAAAAAAAATAAAGGCCGGGCACGGTGGCTCACGCCTGTAATCCCAGCACTTTTGGAGCCGAGGAGGGTGGATTACAAGGTCAGGAGATAAAGACCATCCTAGCCAACATGATGAAACCCTGTCTCTACTGAAAATACAAAAAAATTAGCTGAGTGTGGTGGCAAGCACCTGTAGTCCTAGCTACTCGGGAGGCTGAGGGCAGGAGAATCTCGTGAACCGGGGAGGCAGAGGTTGCAGTAAGCCAAGATCGGACCACTGCACTCCAGCCTGGCGCGACAGAGCAAGACTCTGTCTCAAAAAAAAAAAAAAAGAAAAGAAAAATTTTAAGGCCAGGAATTTTACAGGCTCATGCCTGTAATCTGAGCACTTTGGGAAACCAAGATGTGAAGATTGCTTGAGCCCATGAGTTTGAGACTAGCCTGGGCAACATGACAAAACCCTGTCTCTACCAAAAATACAAAAAAAAAAAAATAGCTGGACTTGGTAGTACACATCTATAGTCCCAACTGCTTAGAAGGCTGAGGTGGGAGGATCACCTGAGTTCAGGAGGTCCAGGCTGTAGTGAGCTATGACCACACCACTGCACTCCAGCCTGGGCAAGAGACACCCTGTCGCAAAAAAAAATGAATAAATAAAAAATAAAAAGAAAGCAATATGTATATTTATAGAGGATACATGAATATCTAACACATATAAAAATCCTTATTTGTAGGCCAGGCACGGTGGCTCATGCCTATAATCCTAGCACTCTGGGAGGCCGAGGTGGGCAGATTGCCTCAGCTCAGGAGTTTGAGACCAGCCTGGGCAACATGGTGAAACCCTTTCTCTACTAAAATATAAAAATTAGCTGGGTGTGGCAGTGCGAGCCTGTAGTCCCAGCTTCCAGAGGCTGAGGCAGGAGAATTGCTTGAACCTGGGAGGCAGAGGTCACAGTAAGCCGAGATTGCACCACTGCACTCTAGCCTGGGTGACAGAGCAAGACTCTGTCTCAAAAAAAAAAAATCCTTGTTGCTATTAACATCCTCTAGTCTTTGTTGTATGCATATATAAATATACTACTTTTCAATATATATAGACACAGTATACGTGTCTATATATATGTACATATATATGTGTGTGTATATATATATATATATATATATATAGAGAGAGAGAGAGAGAGAGAGAGAGAGAGAGAAAGAGAGAGTAT